GGTGCATGTGGTGATGGCGATGGTGGAAGGTAGTTCTTGTTGCTCCCTAGGGGATGCAGGGAGAAGCTGTGGTAGGAATCACTGTCTTCATACAGCTGGCGACTGGATCCAAGCAGGAGCTGGGACAGGAGGGCCTCTGTCCCCTCCAGCCTGCATTTGGGTTGGGGATGCCAGGCTGCCAAGAGCAGGGGCTGCAGGGACCCTTCCTCAGTTTCCTGGTGTTCAGGGTGGCTATCTCCTTCAGGGCATTGAGCTATCCTCCTGTCCTGTGATCTGGGGCTTCTACTCCCTCCACAAACTTTAGGGACCTCTCAGCTACATCCCTGGCACCACAAGGAAGCTCTCAAACCATCCTTGCCTGAAGGTTCCAGCTGTGCCCATTCCTGGGATTGTCTGCAGGCCAATCCTCAACTGTCCTGGTTTTCAGTGTGAATGAGTGTGAAGGTGTGTAGGTGTAGAGAGTGCACAGCAGAGCCTGTTTGAGTGTTACCACTGGGGAAAGAGAAAGTGAGGCAGGCTGCGCCCTGAGGGCACACAGATGCTGCACACAGAGTCCCTCAGCACCATTCTCCCCATGTGACTCTCTCAGTCATCTCTCTTCTTCCTTGGTTGCTGAAGCTGGAACCCAGGCCTTCCAGGAGACCACCCATGACCCTGCCTTCTAGAGCAGAGCTGTGGAGCAGCCAATTCCACCGATCTCAGCCTCCTCTGGCCTGGCTTGACTTCACCAGTGACACCAGTACCTGATTTCACCTTGCCACAACAAACAGAGCAGCTCTATTTTGGCCTTAAAGATCCCATAAAGCAATCCCAATCAATCCCTGCTTTAGGAGTGGGAGAGACTGGAGCTTATTCCCCAGGTAGGAGACACGAAGTAACACCGTGCTAAAGGGACCCACCCAGCATGCCTGGTCTCTGCACGCAGAGCCCCTCCTGGCAGGCAGAGTCTCTGTACCAACCTGCTCTTCCTTCCCTGAAGCATCTGAGGAGGGTGGAGATGACTAGCAAGGGCCTGGAGAAGAGACATGAGGGTCCTGATGGCATGCGGGGGACACAGGCTTTCCCAACCCTGGGCCAGTCTGGCTGTGGCTGGGAACCTGCCCCTTCCAGCAAGGGGTGTGACCCTGGCAAAACCACCTGGGGTGGGAAGGCCTGCAGCATCCCTTTCCAGGTCTGGGAGCTGAAGCCAGCATGGCAGGCAGGAGCAGCAAAGGCCCCTTTAGGTAGAGTCTGTGCCAGGGAGAAGTCTGGAGAGAATCAGGGGGCCCTGCATGGCTCCTTTCTCATTAGATCCTAAGACACAGAGGCCATGGAGTCCAGCCTCTGGCCCAGGGCACGAGTGTACTCCCAAACCTGGGGCTCCCAACTGTTTGGGACCTTTGGCTAAGCCCTTCCCTCTGTCTTGGGACTCTCTAGATTCAGGAAACAACACATCTTCCTAAAAGCTTTCTGGAACACTCCCTTGCAGGCAGCACAAACACCCCCAACTGTATGGGAGTCTATGGGAAGCCCTAAGGATGGTCCCAAAGCCTCCTCCAAGGAAATTCTTTGCTGTTTGTGGATGGCCAGGCACAGAGCATCAGATGGGAATGGCATCTGTATGGGGACTCCTGAGCCACTCTGCATGGGGCCCTGAGCCACTCTTCATGGAGACCCCTGAGCAACTCTGCATGGGGACTCCTGAGCCACTCTGTATAGGGTCTCCTGAGCCATTCTGCATGGGGTCTCCTGAGCCAGTCTGAATGGGGACTTCTGAGTCAGTCTTCATGGGGACTCCTGAGCCAATCTGCATGGGGACTCCTGAGCCACTCTGCATGGAGCCCCAGGTTGTATCCTAAATCACAGAGAAGCCCATAGCAGGATGGGAGCTCAGACTCCCCTCTTTTCCACTGGCTGACATTGGCCAGATCAGGTACCAGGAGTTCTTGGTTAGTGCCCCATGCTGCAGCACAGGTAGGAAGCCAGAGGCAGACTGAGTTGTCCTGGGAGATAGGCTGGGGCCAGAGTCCTTAGCAGAGATGCTCCTGAAGCTGAGAAGTCTGGAAAGAGGCCCATGGGCCATGCTGTCCTGTACCTGTCTTCACCATCATTCCTCTCGCTGCCTCCACCTTACCGTAGAGGATTTAAGTGTGGTAGTTGCCTCTTCCCAGTGGGGATCCAGGGCCTGTGCTGAGGGCAGCTTTGCTTCTGAGCTTGGAGTGTTAGCTGGGATCACAACAGGCATGTGGCACAAAACATGCAAATAAATGGTCTATTTTCTTCCCCCTCAAGAAAAATACAAAAGGTGAAGTCCCATGTCTTTGCTCCTGGTCCATAGACACAAAGGGACTGTGCTGCTTCTTTCCCCACCAGTTTGTCTTGTTTGTGGGGCTGGTTTTCTTCTCATTCTGGCAGTTTATGCTGCTTGGCAGAGCCCAGGAAATTGCGGGGATGTGAAACAAGCCAGAGCATAGGGTCAAATGCTGGGATGTGTCCGTGAGATTAAAACACATTCTTTGTTGGTTTCACAGTAAACCAGTCAACCTTTCTTCTTTCCTTTCTTCCTCCTTCCCTTCCTTCCTTCCTTCCTTCCTTTCATCTTTCCTTCCTTCCTTTCTTTCTTCTTCTCCAGATTCTCTCCTCCAATGCGGGCTGACACTGAGGTGACTTAGGGGTTTCCTTCCAAGTCTGTGCTTTTGAAGCTGGGGGACAGGTGGACGCTTGGCAGCCATTACCCTGTCCTCCGTGAAGTGTAGCTGTGTGCGTTCAGAACTCTCCAGCTGGCCAGGCCCGCCTCTGTCAGCACAGCTCCCTGGTCAGTGTTATTTCTTCTGAACTGTAACGAAAAGAATAGTTAAGGCAGAACAGAGCTCAGAACATTGGCTTCTCAAGGCTCTGACTCAAGGATTTGGGTTTTTGTTTCCTATTGGCAAATGGTAACAGGAATCAGGTGCAGGGGCAGGGACCTCTTTGGTTTGGGGCCCTGGGTGGAACTGCACTCCTGCCGGGGGAGAGGACTGCAGCCTCGATGATGGGTTCAGAAATGGGCATGTCACCCTAACTGGGACAATCAGAATTGGTCCTGGGACTGTAACTGTTGACAAAGAGGCACTCCCCCCACCCCCCAGCTTAGTTACTGGACTGATGAAAATGTGGGCTACTCTTGGGGTCACTATTACAGCTGCTCCTGGCCATCTTGCCAGCATAAGGAGAGGTCCTGCCTGGGAACAAGGCCAACCCAATGGAAAGTAGGACGAGAACAGGACAGATTCTTGGCAACATCACCTGGATACTACAGCCATGCCCAAAGATAGAGCAATCTGTGCTTGAATTTTTTAGTGAAAGCTGACAAATTCCCTTTCCCACTTTGAGTTCAGTAGTTGTTGCCTGCCATTGAAAAAGTCCTGGCTGGTGGCGCCTGTAGCTAAAGCCGCTAAGGCACCAGCCACAT